TTTACTCAATCCATACTTAAATTCAATGATTGTCTTTTTGGATCTGGTTGCTAGTTCATGTTAATGCTTGCTTCTATTTTATTTATTCTTGATTCCCCCACACCCCACTCTTTGTTAGCTTTGATTTTGTTCCTTCTAGATTGTTCTGTCTTGTTGTTACTCATAGATTTTCTTATATTTGTATGGGTATTAATCTGAATTTTAGATGCATTTTATAGTATCTTAATATTTAATTTAACCCATGTACATCATTGACTTTGTAATTATCCTAATCTGAGTGTGCTTTAAAATCTGGTAATGACTAGATTTTTAGGTCCTTTAGTTTTTTTCTGTTAAGTGATCAGCACCAATATACATGTAGTTTTAAATCAGTTGCTTTAAGATTTGTGCTTTTATCAGAATCTGAGGGGCAAGCTCAGAAGTCATTCTTAGCCTCTTTAAAAACTTCTTTGTGCTCTAAATGTTTTAATAGCTTACCTTATTATCATCTTCACAGACCACTTTTATAAAAGTATATACATACTCACTGTAGATAATTTGGAAAATATATGGCTATATGATATATAGATATTTTGATTAGCATCTTAATGTATTTCTTTCCCCTTATTAACTTACATATTCACAAAACTCAGAGGAGTGATGTCAAAAACATTTTAAAAACACTCTAGAGGCTCTAGTCCATGAGAACAGTAGTGTCTGTAGCGCTAGAGCAATGTACTGAAGTTCTGTTGCACAAGACTCTTTTAAGTGGACTGAAGTCCTTAGGGTAAGACCTAGGACAGTGGGGCACAGGGAAATGATGAAAGAATTCAGTAGAGTAATAACTGCATAGATGCACACAGGCTGAAAAGCAGCTTATACCACTTTTATAAATATACACATATGTGTATATGCCTATTTTTCACTTAAAACATTTTATTAAAATATGTTTCTCTTCAAAAACAGTTTAATGGTTGCATACTTTTCATTATAATCTTTGAGTTAGGAATATTAAGTCATAATTTAGGTTGTTTTATAATTGTAATAACTCATTGGGTTAAATTATAGAAATTTAGGTGCTTAATACATATTACCAAATTGCTTTCTAGTAAGGTTATCAATTTTTACAAACATTTATGACATCTGTCCTTTTTTTTCATGGAGTTTAGGTGTTTTTATTATCAGTATTTGTAAATTCTAAGAATTAATACTTGAATATTGTGATATTTTTCTCAGTGTTATGCCTAATTTCATAATTTAAAATTTCACATGGTTACAGAATAGTACACAGTGTTAAACTCAGAGTATAGAAACTTTGCTTCTTAGACACACACAGGTAAGATGACATGAAAATGTTGTGAGAAAGGATTATGCAGTGGAAACATGTTACTGTTACAGTTGCAGATCTAGGACATGGAGTTGTCCAACTTAGACCTCATAAAAAGATGACTCATTGCAGAACTAAAATATATAGCTCATGACTTTAAAAAAGCTATATTCTGGAGACTAGGATGATTCCAAATAGACTAGCTAGACATATTAGTCCTCTGAAGTCCTTTAAGAATGAAGGCTAAGATCAATTATAAATCCTAAATGAAACAATAGATTCTGAGAATTAGCTTCATGGTGGGCATGGCAGCATATGCCTGTTATCCCAGCAACTTGGGTGGCTGAGGCAGGAGGATCCAAAGTTCAAGGCCAACCTGGGCAACTTAGGAGACCCTTTTCCAAAATTAAAAAAAAAAAAATGTTTGACTTATGAATCAGCATGCCTTTTCTCTGGACATGTCTCCTTATTGGCAAAAGGGGAGCTGGATAATGGCCTATTAAAAATAGTGTTTAGCGTCACCTTTATCATTGGGAAAGCAATTATCTTTAAGAAGTAGGATATTATAAGTTAACACCTTAATTAGAACAACTTGCCACATTTAATTTTCTGCCTCAGTGCCTTTAGAATGTGGGAAAATACTGGTTTTATTGAAATTTTATTCATTTATGAGAACTTCATTTCCCACTTAAGAATGATTGCCCAATCTTATAGACCGGGCTTACTATATGATGATTTGGCATGCTTAATAATCAGTAAAATAGATGTTGACTTAGTTCCTGACACTTATTAGGACTTATCTGATATTTTGGTTAAAGTTGATTTAACCTTTATGTGTTCCCCCAGTATCTGTCACGGTGTTATGTACAAACGATAAATAGAGGTGGCAGGGAGGGATCAACTCTTTATTAAAGCAGCCAACCCACTAGGCACCTACTGTTTGCAGAGCACACAGAGTTTATAAACCTGGTTGATGAGCAGAACCAGCTGCAATACTTTATTTGGCCCAACCTTCACCAGACAATCTCTGGAAAGAAATCTAGAAACATTTTTCTTTAAACAGTTCTCCCTATCATCCTAACAATCAGATTTAAGAACCACTTGACTTATATTCTCTACTAATGGTGTGGCATTACAAAAATCCAAGAAGGATGATAGATTGTTCAGGATATCCCAATAAGAGGCCTTTTGATTTTATCTTTGGGGAAAAAAAAAAAAAAGGAGCCTCTTCATTTTTTGCTGTTTCAAGAATTTAAACCCTGGGTAAATGCTACAAATTAAATCTTCATTGAAAATAGAAATTGACTCCATTTACCTTGTTTCTTATAAACTTTTTTTTTTTTTTAATTGTTGTTCTATAGAGGAGGAAGATGAACTCTTTGATGACCCTCTGCCAGTACCATTAAGGCACAAGGTTCCATACCAGCTAATTCTTCACACTGGGGTATTTTCAATGACTGCAATATCACAAAACCAGCCTGAAAAACTGAGACAAAGCACAGGATGTTTCAAAACAGAGAGTACACAAAACACTCTTTTGAGCAATTTTATAGATTGTGAAGAATCCAACAGTGAAAGTGAGGAAGAATTAGAAATGCCATCTTCAGTGCAAGAAGATCTGGGCTCTGTAACACTTCCCCAGCAAAAGGCTGATGTGGATGTACCACAGTGGGAAGTATTCTTTAAAAGAAAAGATGACACCACAGATGAGGGTTTGGAAAACTTCCCTTCCTCCACAGAGACAGGAGGATCTCAGTCACCCAATCTTTTCAATGACTCTGATGGAGAATCAACACACATCTCCTCCCAGAATTCTTCTCAGTCAACACACATAACAGAACAAGGAAGTCAAGGCTGGGATAGCCAATCTGATACTGTTTTGTTATCTTCCCAAGAGAAAAATGGTGGGGATATTATCTCTTTGAACAAAGGTGTCTACAGACCAAAAACCAAAGAGAATATTCCTACCTCCCAGATGGAACAAAATGTACTTTGCCCAAAGGACACTCACTCTGATTTAAAAAGCAGAGATTCAGAAGTAACTACAGTTCCTAACACTGGAGAACCAACTAGTCTGAGTTGTGGGAAACACATACCTGAGAAAAACAGATCGCTAAATCTTAGCACACATTCAGATTCACAGAGTTCCTCTGATTTTGAAATTCCCTCAACTCCAGAAGCGGAACTACCTAAACGAGAGCATTTACAGTATTTATATGAGAAACTGGCAACAGGTGAGAGTATAATAGTTGAAAGAAAAAAATGTTCACTCTTAGATATTTAAATGGAATACTTAAAAATCTTCAAATAGCCTAAAAGACAGCAGCAAAACACACGTCAATGGAAAGACATGTGGGGAAACATAACCCAATTACATGCTGTGTATAAGAAACTCAGTTCAAATGGTGTAAGTTAAAAGGATGGAAAAGAGACACCATTTAAATACTAAAAGCTGGAGTAACTACACAAATATCAATTTCTGGATAAAAGCTTCAAGTTAACAAAAAGACATAAGAATCCTAAATTTGCATGCACTTAACAGTCAAAATACATGAAAAAAAAGGAAATGCAAACTAATGTACAATTATATTTTAACATTCTTCTTTTTGTAAGAGAACTAGTATAAATACAGAAAATCAAGTATATAGAACTAAACACCATCAGTCAACTGGATCTAATTTGCATTTATAGAACACTGCACCTAATAGTAGAACACATCTCTTCAAGTGCACATGAATATTCACAAAGATACATCTTGGATTATAAAAATTAGAATAACTGAATCTATAAATTGTTTATGGGGGGAATCACCTTTACTTTCAAAAGATGTTCTATCACTTTAAACTGTTGATCTGAATACAGTGGTAAAACTAGAACAATAAGAATGTAAAAGAAAATGTTTATGAATTAAATGACTATGTTCAAAGTCATTAAATTTAAGTTCACAAGTGCTTCTAAGAATTCAATAAAGTTTTACAAACATTCATAAAAACTTCTGTATGCTGACATTTCACAATAATCAGAGCTGAGACATCAGTTTTTAGTGGTATCTCACAATTTGTAGATTAAACGGAGAATGATTTGTATCTTGATGTTGCATAGTAATAAGACCAAAAAGTAGTCCTGGATCCACCATACTAGAGTTACTATATTTTGTATAATAGTCACTAATGCTTAAGACTTAGTTTTAATAGTATACTTATGATTCAAGATAGGCATTCATAAAATACCTGTAAACATTCTTCTGAATATATTCCTAGCATTTTACAATCACCATTTTATGTCTGGTAAAAATGCTGGCTGAATTCAAGGGCTAAGAGCAATACAGACTATTCAACATACTTGTAAAGGTCATCAGATTTTAAAGCAGAGGTTTTGAGTGATAATACTTATCAGTGCTTATTCTGTAAAAAAAAAAAAAAAAAAAAAGTTTTTTACACACATATGCTTTAATTCTCATAACTACCCTTTGAGGGATAGGAGATGAAGGCACAATAGGTTAGTTCACATAGCCAGTAAGGGGCAAAGCCAGGATTCAAACACAAGCAACTTGACTTTACAGTCTCTGCTCTTAAGCACTATGCTATTCAAGTCATTATTATCTAATAATATAGCATAAAAACGGGCAGGAATAATTTAGTTGCTACTTGATTTTTACTTCTAGAACTATTAATTGTAAAAGGAAAAGTGGGAAAAAAAGTTGAATCCCAGGACCTAAAAATTTTAAGAATAGACACTGATTTTTTTTTTTTTTAAGTATCCCTGAATACTTATAAAATAGGTATAGTTTTCAGCCTAGTAATTGGATGATCTTGGGCACATTAATGTTACCTACCCAGTCTAATCCTGTTACCTTAGGTGTAATAAAGGAATGACGGCAACAACCTTCTAGATTTATGAGAAGTACATTAGTATACACATAAAGGGCCTAAGGCTTATTAATACTAGTTCTGAATTCTAAAATTTCTTTGTATTTCAAGGCAAACTTACAATAGTTAAAGGACCTAGTAACTAATAGCATAAAAATTTCAAATACACAGTATCTGTCCATATTGTGCTAACTACGTTCAGTTGTACTTTTAATACCCAAATGCATGAACCCATAAAGGAACTGTATAGAAATCTTTGGTTAATATCAGCAGATAGAAATGTTATCAGTATCTTTCTGCATTCTACTGGAAACATTCAAAAGCAAATGAAGTTAAGCCTTGGTAAATGGACTATCAAATGCCAAACTAAATTTATTTTGCTAAGGAAAAACTGAACTAAAAGAAGTACGGTCTAAATTTTGAAAATTTGGGAGAAAAACTCATGAGATTTCCAATTGTATATTACAATCCTACATTAATACTGGGAATGATGGTCTTAAAACTTGCACAGATAACTCAGATTTGCTCTATTACCCTAGAATACCTGCATTATATTGAGAACAAATTCTGATGTCTTTAGGAAATCAAAAAGAAGAAACTAAATGTTGATTAAAATAGTTAGTCTCTAACAGCTTCATTTTAATAGTTCCTATTATTTTACTGCCTAAGCTCAGCTTTTTAACATAGAGGTAACACAAGTACTCAAAGACCTATTAAATTTCTATTAGTAAGGACAAAACAACAAGAAAAGTCTTTTTCCTTTTGTCCTCCAGTTTTACATCTTTTAAAAAACCCAGACAGTAGATGAGATTAAATAATTAGATAGTAAAATACTGGCTAAAAAAATTAAACCTTTAAACCTATGAGAAAGATAATTCAAAATAAGCTTTGCCGCCAGGGGGGAAACATGTAAATTTGTGATACTCTCTTACTATTGAAATCACGTAACTAAATTTTTCATAAAGAAAACACAAGAAATGCTATTAAAAAATATTTTTTATCTTGACACATTCTGTAATTTTTGGTTAGCAGACACTATGAGGCTCCAAACATGCAAACAATTTTCCTACATTATGAAAGAGCAAAGTCATGTGATAGCAATATAGTGAATAATAAAGTGTACTAAAAAGGAGTTAAGAATCAGGAAGATATTTTAAAGTACTACATTCTTGAATCAGTTCAGTGTTACCCCAGGTTACTGTAGATCATTAAAGCCTAGAGCAGTGAGCTTAGGCAGGATTAATTAGGAATACTGGAAGCTAGATTTGTGGCATCTTCATGTTGGGACACCATGATTAGAAATCCCAGAATCAGAGATGAAAACAGTTTTCCTGATTGAGGTTTTACTATACATGGGGGAAATCTTCCCATTCAGTCATTATTAACTAATAAAAGGTCTCAATTCAGGCATAGACTTTGGCCAAGTTTAGCTTTATCATATCTTAAAAATTCATTATAAAACAAGTATCAGTTCAAATATAGATTACTTTTTAAGAAGAACCTGCAGGAAATATAAAAATAATTGAATCTGATGGAAAGGAAACATTAAAACTGCCTAAAATTGAAAGGATGTAAAGACAGGGTGTATTACATTATCATTAAGTACAGCTGCTCCTCAGGTCTCCTGTTTCAAGGTTTAGACCAGAGATACTCAACATGGATCTCCTGTTTCATGCTAAGTGGAGTGCTCAAAGTGCTCCATTTCCCCTGCCATGGCACTCCAAAAAGCCTGCTGGTTCACCTGTCCTGTCCTTTCAAGGAAGCATAATAGCCAGTCATTCTGGATCTTTATAGAGGGCTTTTGGAGATTTTTATTCTACAGGATTAAAATCATGTAAGAATTTCAGGTTGAGACATACAGCCTTTATAAGGGTCTAGATCACTTCAAAATATGAAATAAAGCTAAAATTAAAATTAAAATTTTTTACATTTAATTTTATACCTTAATTTTTATATCATGAAAATGCCAAGGTTTTAATGAAAAAGTAGAAAATTAGAGTAAAAAAATTCAGTATCACCTATTTGTCTCAAAACAAGACCAGTGGGTATTAAATAGGAATATAATAACAAAAATAGAACTTGTATACAGCCCAAATTCAACTATTTCTTTGAAACCAAGGTATAAGGCAAGATGAATTTTTCATCTCAGCATTCATTACCTTATCATTTCAACACTTTTCAAACAGTGAAGGGAGCACGTCTCTGTTCACACAGACTTCATAAATATACACATGCTGAGCCATAGTTTGTCTTCCATGTTTGATGTCTAACCACCAAATATGTATACTTTAAATTCGGTTACGTGACCCTGTGTCCTCTTCAGAAGCAACAGTAATATATTTGGCAAATGTCTTGAAACGTGAATTGTAAATTAACATAAGTATAATCCTGATAGTAAGAAAGAGTCCCAAATACTTATTTTTTTAAAGTGTAACATTGGTGGGGGGGACTACAATTATCATCAGCTCTATTTCCTGAAAATTCAGTTGAGGTAACCTCTGCAAGTCACAGCTCCACATTTGCATACAGTTCTGATCCTCTTTTTGGCAGGGCTATGGTCAATAGAATCTGAAGATACATCTCCAGAACCTGAATATACAGAAGAAAAACAGAAGAAAGTAAAGACAATTTAGAATGAAATTCAATTTTTCTATTAGTTTTAAAGTAGCTAGCAAGGCTACTAAACTCATGCAAGATCACTGAAGTAAGTTTACTCCCAAGGAAATAAAAGTTTTCCCTTTGCATTTATAAGTAGGAAATGTTCAGACAACTCATAATTGCTTTAAAAGGATGGTGTAGGCTAGGTAAGAGGTCACACTTAGGTTATTAGGCCACATTTGTGAGATTGGGTCTCTGCAAAGCTGAAACTTACTGGGAAACCCCAATATACATTCATTCTTTTCATACATTAAAAGCAAATAAAGTCAAGCAATAACTATGTGAAGGACACCATTCTTAGAAAAACAAAGGAAACAAATTTTCATATTGTCACAATAAAGCAAACAAATTAAATGTCCTTTTTTTTTTTTTAACTTATTTATTTATTAGTTTTCGGTGGATACAACATCTTTGTTTGTATGTGGTGCTGAGGATGGAACCCGGGCCGCACGCATGCCAGACGAGCACTCTACCGCTTAAGCCACATTCCCAGTCCTAAATGTCCTTTTAAAAGTCAGATTCAAGAAGGAATGGAATAAGTTCCTATGTGACTGAAATCATCATTTCAATCTTCTGAACTAACATTGTTTATTAATAAAATTCAGAAATGTAGGCTTATATTTTTAAAATACAAGCAGTTCAGTAATGAAAAGGTGTTGTAATAAATCATTTTCCAAAACAGAATTCTGAAAAAAGGGGGCAACATGATATAGAAGACACCCTTTCTCAGACAACCAGATAAGCTCTGAATCTTAAGACCAGGAACTCTTACAGCCTTGATTTCTTTCATCATTAAAGTTAGTTTGTTGCAGATGATCTAAGGCTTTTTCCTATTTTGATTCTTCATATTGAAACTAACATCAAAGAAACTGTACTCAAAAATCCTACCTTTCATTTGATAATCAAATGTCAGCTCTTCTCCAGCATTTATGGTTCTTGTGGAAAATAATGCTATTCGGGGAAGACGAGTATCGAGGTTATCGATGAAAACATTGAACACCTGAAGATTTGGGTCACACTAAAAACGAACATTAAAACCCATTTAAGTAAAAGTGATGTAAACAAACTGTTTTACATGCTATATAAAACCTTTAATTTCCCAGTGTGTTTATCTTTTAAGGGCCATAATTATATAAAATAATGGTTACCTGAACACAAGCACTGTGACACTTGTGATAGTCAATCTAATATACCAAGACAGTTACCAAATATTAACAAGCAGGTAGCATATACCTGATAATGTATATAATGATTCGTGTCCTGGGCAGGTTATGGTGGGACAGTATGAGATTTTATTGTACTGACAGAATGGAATGCAATTTAAAACTTTTGAGTTATTTATTTCTGGAATCTTCCATTAAATATTTTTAGACTGGAGTTGACTGTGGAAAACCAAAAACGTGGAAATTGAATCTGTGGATAAGGGATAAGAATTATATATTCCAAAATTTAGCTACAAATTCCAAAAGTCAAGTTTGACTCAATGTTTTACTGGAAATTAAATTGCTTAGGTATGTACATTCAAAAGTATTATTTTCACATATAAGAAATTTTCAAACATACTTAGAAGTAGAGAAAATAATACACTAAATCCATAAGTATCTGCTTAGCTTCAACAATTATCAATATGTCTACCAATCATCATCTTCTAGTCCCAACACTTTATTTTCCTGAAGAATTTAAATTTAACATTTCTTCTATAACTATCTCAGTAAGTCACACAATTTAAAGAACCAGAATAACAGTATTTTAAAAATCAAAAATCAGTACCATGGGATAAATTTTAAATTGTATGGAGTTTCACTGCTTAAACTTTTATTTATAATTGTCCAATATTTTGAGAGAATTCTCCACTAAATTATGGAATATCCAAGAAGAGTGATCTAAACAATCATACTATGAAACCCAATTACATAATTAGTTGTCACTGAATAGAACATAAGTGTTTTGGAAGTACAGTTGGCTCTCTGTAACTGTGTAATCTCAGCCACTGGCAGATCAAAAATGTTTGGAGAAAAAAAGTACACTTATATTGAACAGGTACAGACTGTTTTGTCATCACTCTCTAAACAGCATAGTAAAACATTACATTGTATTAAGTATTAGAGATTATCAAAGTATAAAAAAGGATGTGCAGATGATGTGCAAATACTACATACCATTTTATATAAAGGAACCTGAGAGATTCTGGAACCAATCCCCTGAGATAACAGAAGGATGACTGTTATCTCCAATTGATCATTAAGAAAAAAATTATTTTAAAGCAAAAGTTTAAGTCATAAAACAAGGGGGTCAGAAGGTCTCTCACATATCACTGATAATCACACATCAGTTTTTTGTTATGCAACCCATTAGAAGGTTATCATGATTTATAACATCAGCTGTACAACTTACTCTGTGATATACGTTTTTCTTATATCTATAACGTCTATAAAATGGAGTTATCAACCTAACTAGCCCTATATACCTGACATTTAGAAGGTGCCCCCAGATTAACTTATCTTTGGAAATAGTTTTCTCAGAGGATGAGACTCTGGAGTTATAATTGGAGCTCTCAGTTCTTTAAAATACTAATGGAGAATAATTTATAACTTAGGGGTGAAAATGTCCCAACTATTTTAATACTCTACAAATCCTTAAATTTTATTTTAAAAATGTTAACATGCTTATATTTTAAGAAAATACAGTAGTCCCTCTTTATCCATGGGAGATTCAGTCCAAGACCCTAGTGGATTCCTGAAACCATAAATCATTACCCAAACCCTGTCTTTGCTAGGTTTTGTCCCTAAATACATATATGATACATTTAACTTATAAGTTATGCAAACAAAAAGGACAATAACTAAAATAGAACAATTTTGTACTAAATGTAATCTCTCAAAATGTTATACTTTCTACCTCTGCACTTTAAAAAAACACTTTACTCTTTGGCATATCCAAATTGCCAGCAACACTATGCTTATGTTTTGGGGCCATTATTAAGTAAAATAATGGTTACCTGAACACAAGCACTGTGATACTTTAATAGTAGATCTAACAAACCAAGACAGCTACCAAATATTAACAAGCAGGTAGCATATACCTGATAATGTATATGATGATTTGTATTTTGGGCAGGTTATGGTGGGACAGTATGAAATTTTATTGTACTGACAGAATGGAATGCAATTTAAAATTTATGAGTTATTTATTTCTGGAATCTTCCATTAAATATTTTTGGACTGCACTTGACTGTAGATAACCAAAAACGTGGAAAGTGAAACTGTGGATAAGGGGTAAGAACCATATATTCCAAAATTTAGTTCTATTAACTCTAAGTTAAAGTTAAATATAACTGCAAGTGATTTTTTACTCTTTTTTTTTTGTACTGGGGATTGAATTCAGAGGCACTCAATCACTGAGCCACATCCCCAGCCCTATTGTATTTCATTTAGAGTCAGGGTCTAACTGAGTTGCTTAGCGCCTCACCATTGCTGAGGCTGGCTTTGAACTCAAGATCCTCCTGCCTCAGCCTCCCAAGTCTGGGATCACATAGGTGTGCACCACTGCACCCAGTTTTGAGTATTTTATTTCTTAATTATCATTTATTAATTTCCTCTCTGATATGAATACCTACCTTATAAAGATTATTAATTGAAAGACTAAGCAAAGCATAAAGACTCTGGAAAAACTTGGTAAGCACCTCAATGTTGATCTTCCTAACATAGCATTAATACCATGACTTAACAGAAGAGATAATAATGTTCGAATTATGTTAATGATAATTATGTTAATTATGTTCGATAATAATGTTTCAAATTATGTTAATGATAATAACATAATAATAATTATGTTATTATCATTAACATAATTTGAAAGGGTATGTTTAAGGATGATTATTCTTCAGCCATGAGAATTCATTAAAAGTAGTGTTAAGTAGAACTATTTATCTATAATTTAAGCATTTTTTTCTTACACTGTGATTCACAAAATGAGACACATTTCCATATCGGGCTGCATCCACTGTGAATTCATCAGATTCATAATCCAGATCAAAGAGATATGTGATTCCTTTGTTGTCATATAACTGCCCCCGTCTTTCAGCTTCTTCACTTGTGATTACCTAGATAAAAAACTATAGTATATTATGTAGCTATTGCTGAACTGAAGAAACATTCTTCCACAGACTATCAATATATTGATGCCTACAAATGTTTAAAAAAGAAATTTAAGTGTTATCAAAACAAATATTCAACATGAATTAAGAGCTAGATGAAAGAGGCAAGGAAAATGAAGGGTGAAAAACAGATGGTGAAAAAAAATAATTCTTTAACTTTAAAAAAAAATTAAATGTGAAACAAGTTGAAACACTCATTATTTTCATTATTATAAGGCTGTTCAAAAAGCTGTAAATATAGCTACCTATAGGACATAAGCACATTTACAAGTGTAAATTTTCTAAATGTGCTCTGAAGGCACATTTTTCCTATAACTAATCTGCACACAGTTACAAGTGGAAATTTATTATATAACAAGAGAAGTCATGTTAAATTTGCAGTTAATTGGAAAGTTTTGTAGAAAATGTAGCATGAAATTCTATAGATGAAAATTTTCCAACCCCTGGATGATGGTTAACAGTGGTCGTGTTTGCCTTCCATGTGTGAGGCCCTGGGATCTATCCCCAGCATAAAAAACATCAACTGTAGTTCTGCTCTTAGAAACACAACTTTATTACAAGCTCAGTTCAATAAACCAAAAATATCTAAAGTGATTCATGCTATCAACCAAATGTGACTGCTATATTTTAAAAAAAAAGAAATATATAAGATCTAGCTTCTTGAATAATGATCTATAATAATCTGCCATTGTCTAAAAATATAAGGATCAAAACAAGAATCTCATCTAATTTCAGAATCTTAGAAGCCTATAGAAACCGGTCAGATTTGATGATCCCAGACAAGCAACCACACTCATGTTCCTAGTACCAGCTTGATCCATCATTCAGTTTTAGGTAGTGTGGCGTAGTCAACAGCACTCATTTTGAATCTTGATTCTTCTTGATAACAATATAATCTATGTGATGTTGGGCAGCTTCCTCAATTTCTCTGTATCTCAGTTTCTCTAATAACATAGTTAACAGTTCTACCTCATTGAGTTGAGAAGATTATTGAGTTCATATAATAAGATGCTTAGAATAGTATGTGGTCTATGGTGAATATTATTTTTATATTTATGCATGGTTTGTATATAAGTAAATTTGATAATATTTGGTCATTTAGAGAATGATCTACAGTTCAAAGTATCTGATTTTCAGATGCAGTTTGATTTTCTTACAGATGCAATAAATGGTTTTGTGTCCCCTTTTACAATACCTACTTATGAAGTGTTGATCTACTCTATATTATTCATGTTGATACAAAATAAGTATAGCCAAACGTAACCATATTTGGCCAAATAAATTAATTATAACTTGAAACTTATAAGTTTCAATGTCAATATGTGTTTAGGTCTGATTTTCTTCTTAATGAAACTATAAAATAAAAATTACTTGTTATATTTTAAAATGTACACATACTATGTTCAATGACTGTAAGTGGGGGTTTTTTGAAAAATAGCTATATAAACTTACATTATATATTTTTGCTCAGATGTAAAATTAAAAGTTTCCTTTTGATGAGGTGGTTACCGAGGATTGAACTCAGTGACACTCAACCACTGAGCCCCATCCCCAGCCCTATTTTATATTTTATTTAGAGACAGGGTCTCACTGAGTTGCTTAGAGCCTCGCTTTTGCTGAAGCTGGCTTTGTACTCACGATCCTTCTGCCTCAGCCTCCTGGGTCCTTAGGATTAAAGGCTGTGCCACTGCACCTGACCAAAAGTTTAAAAGTTTACATTTTTAATTATTCCAGTGAACCCTTCTCCTAAACCTGAATTTTTTTTATATTTGCAAATGATGTATCAAGTATTTATGTTAATTGAGGTAAAAAGGTAACTTCACAAAAATATAAACCTTACAGGAACATTATGTGATAAACTGAACGTACCTCTCCAACATATTCCATGACAAAACTCATTTTTTTAATCTTCATAAGGGTTTTTACACCCCAGCCACAGCCATTGCTAGTTCGAAAGATGCAAAGTGAATACTGCGTGCCTTTTTGCACAATCCTATTGGGACAATCAGGTCCACATCGGCACCTTGAGTTGCATTCATAGATGGGGGTACCAGGTGGGATTCTAATTTGCTGGTTCTTATTATAAGCCAAAAGAACTCCAGCTTCAGCAGGACAACATTTCTCAAAGTAACAATCTGTGCATGAACAACCAAATGTAGCTTCATTGACTAAGCTGATCCCAGGAGCTGGTTTGTATTCATTAATGTAGAAGAAGTCTGAAGGTGGACCCTCTAAGTCAACAGTATTTTCAACAAATATCATTCCTTTATGATTCTTTCTTCTGTTGAGTTCATCTTGCCATCTCTGCAGAGCTATCCTTTGTTTGGCTTTCTTTACAATGTACTCAGCAACAGCAGGTTTCAAAGCTTTATTATTGTCTTTTGAAATTACTGATTTGCCTTTTTTTACCTGAGATAAATAATTATGCCTGTCATTAGAGAATTGTTGAAGCAGTAACGGACACTTGAGATTTTGTAAGGGTTCCCAAGTATTTGTAGAATCTGGCCATCCTTTCCATTTTACAAGATAATATTCCATATCCTTAAATGCAAAAGAATGCAATTAGATCATGACAAATTATTTAAGATAATTAAGCACTTTAAAGAGTAAGCTACCATTACCATTTTTCTTGAGAGATTACAGAATATGGGAAGAGCCATAGTTTCTATCAGTTGAAGTACAGATCACATAAACTATTTTTCTTTATATTACATAGAATAGAATTTATATACAGCATAACATGTCTGATAATAGGTTAAAAAGTCTTATCTAGAGAAAAACAGAGATACTAAAATTTATGAATATTTGACTAAACAGCTATTAGGTTAAATATAAAAGCATTTATCTTGATTATGGAAATATATGATCCTAAAGCTAACTATCCATGTCTTATGTTAGTGGCTTACTTGGCTAGCATAGATGCAGGCTTTCTTTAAGGTACAGGACTTAATATTGTTAACTGGACATGAGGGAAATTATATTTCTTAATGTCATGGGCACTCATCCCCTAGATATGCTAAAGATACACTGTCCAATACAGTCACTGCTCAGCTACTGAGAACCTGAAATGTGGCTAGTCTGAACTGAAACGTGCTTTAAGTATAAACCCATTGAATTTTATAGACTTGGGCAGGGAGAGTAAAATACCTCTAAGTTTAAAAAAATACTGATCAGAGACTAGGGTTATGGCTCAGTGGTGGAGTGCTAGCCTCCAATGTGTGAGGCCCTGGATTCGATCCTCAGCACCACATATAAATAAACAAATAAAAAAAAGTATTTAAAAAAATACTGATCACATGTTGAAATATCTTTCATATTTTGTATTAAATATACTACTGAAAACAATTTCACCTCTTCCTTTCTACTCTGTTCAACATGGTTACTAAGAAAATTTTAAGACATCCTGTACACACTGTATTTCTATTGAATGGCATTCTAGAGGATGCTAGCCTTATTTAGAGTCACACATAACTAATCAATTGGATCAGGTAACAGGCACTCCAGCCACCAAAAGTCAAATATTTTGACTTATCACACAAACTGATGTTAATCATCATGGTATCTTGAATCTTGTGTTTGTTTACACTACAGTAATATATTTTCTTTCCTTAAAATCAGGCAACATCTTGTTTCTTAACTTTCTCTTTTAAAAAGTTAAGCAGGGCTTGGTGATCCTGTAATTTCAGCAACTCCAGAGGCTGAGCCAGAAGGATCCCAAGTTCAATGGTTAGGATTAGTCTTTAGCAAGGCCCTAAGCAATTTAGTGAGATCTGTGTCAAAATAAAAAATAAAAATGGCTGGGGGCTGGGTACGGTGGCGCACACCTGTAATCCCAGCAACTCAGGAGGCTGAGACAGGAGGATCGTGGATTCAAAGCCAGCTTTGGCAACAGCGAGGAGCTAAGCAACTCAGTGAAACCCCATCTCTAAATAAAAATACAAAATAGGGATGGGGATGTGGTTCAGTGGTTGAGTATCCCTGAGTACAATCCCAAGTACCCCCCCCCCAAAAAAAATGAAGTTAAGGATATAGAATAAATTTATATATTCCAAAGTGAAGTCTCTCACTACCTTTTTCTCATCCTCCAGAATAACTAATATATCCACATGCCCTAAGATAAAATAAGCTCATAAAATTCTTCTGAAATATGAAAGTAATTAAACTGCATTTGACAATTTCTAAGTATCACATAATTTGTGAGATAATGAAAAAACTTAATTGGGACTAAATTTGCCTTTCCCTAAAAAATTTAGTGAATTTTTATTATAAAGTAAAGATGTACAGGACAGTTATTTAAGTATCCATTAATTCCCTCCATCCCCCACCAAAGTGCTAGGGATAGAACCCAGGGGTCTCTTGCAGCTGGGCAAGCACTCTACCACTAAACTATTCTCCAAGCCCATATCCACAATTTAAAAATGACAAATAACCTGGAAGGTCTAGGCTGTGTTCCCTAGCATACTGCTGAAGATAAAAACTGGACTAAGGAACACTGTGACACATTCATGACTGAACTTAATATTATCCTCATTATCTATATCTTAATGTTTTATTTTATTTTACTCAACAAGCAGTAATTCTTATGAATAAAATTGACTTGCTTTTTGAAAACTGCAAGTTTTCAAAAAACCCATTTCTGTTAAAAATGTGTTAAATTATGGTCTAAGGACATGCACAAAAACTGTATTTCCATGGAAATAAATAATTGTAGTTCCAGACACAGGAAAAAAAAAAAAAAGGACTAGATGTACAACAAAGTATTTTTGTCAAATTAATTCTTCCCCTTGTCAGATACCTGCTAATAATAGTCCAAGTTTGCTGTTATCTATACTGAAGCAGACATGAAATCCATTAGGCAGTATCTAACATATATCACTCTTAAGTTTTAAAAATTTTTTGATGCCAGAATAAAGCAATGCAACCCTGGTCCTTTTTTTTTTTTCCCCCCTGCTACATTTTTCCTACAATAGTCCTGACTTATGCTAAACATTAAAAGAAAACAAAGAAACAGAAATCCAGGCTGTAAGTCAGATGGTTAAATTATCCTGTAAAGTTAAAAACATCTAAGTCTAAAATTTACAATTTAATCTATTGTATTGTTTAATCTTGCATTTAAGTGACTAAATTTTATATGTTGACCACATTGGCACCTACTTAATTTATGGGGAGTAAGTACACTTAGAAAATATGAATGCCTCTTTGAAAAAAGAGTATAGAAATATTTTATCTGTGGTCTGTAGACATTTTATAAGCATATTTTACTTTTAAAATCTAAAAGACTTTCTATTTCGAAAAATAATTTTACAAAGGAAAATTAAGAAACAAGTTCAGTTAATTAATAACCTTAAATTCTAAGTCAAAAAGCTCATAGACTTATATATCAGTATCTTATTCTGATACGTAATCAACTCTTGATTACCTTCAGAAATGGAATACAGCAGTAAAAATAACTATGTAATTTGGAATGCACCATTCAAATTTTTTTCTTCAAGACATTTTTGCCCACTATATTTGGCTTAAATTAAATTTAAATATTTTAATATATATAACAAATATATGAAAGTTTAGGCACTGGGGCATGAAGAAACAATAAGGTATTACAAGCCTTTACAAATAAAATTTAATTGGGAAAAAAAGGCAATAATATGAAACAGCTAGCAGTGCAAGGCAATACAATTTTCAATGCCAAAATAAATAAGACAAGCAATACCACTAGAATATAAAGAGGAGAATCAATATAGTCCAGATAAAGGGAACAGAGGAAGTAGAACCAACTACACTGTGAAAGGCTGACAGAATTTGCTGAGTAGGGAGCATGGCAGGCAGGGTGAGAAACAAGCAAAAGCTTGAAGCTAAGATTTGCATGAAGTATCCAGAAAACTGTTAAAAGATGAACTTGTTGAGCTTTAAAATTCAGAATGCTGAATCAAAATAAAACCAATGCTGAGCTAAGGGAAGAATAAATTTTAGACAACCCTGAATATTTGGCTGAGGAATCTGAACTGGCCCAATCAATCTTACAATTCTTAGAATACAGAGCATTTCTGTGTGGAAATTCTAAATACATTTAATTCCACCTAATTAGTAAAGTTTATTTATCTAATTGCCAAACCAATGAATTCTTCAATCCTCACCTAATTCAAGCTCTCTGAAGCAGCAGCCCTCACTTGACCATTCATTAGGCTTAAAAATCATATTTTTTCATTCTTGTTCCTTTTCTCATTTTCTTTGTTAAGACTGAGTCCTCTATCACTTAATGTAGATATTCAGGACTTGTCCTTGACCCTTTTTACACTAAAAAAAAAGTATTGATGCCTTTGATAATCTGATGGAAGATATGGAAATTTCCATAACAAATGTCAGATATATAACCTTTTGAGTAATTTCAAGGTGTTTGGATGTTCAGGGTGTTAAGAATTCCTCTACACCAGACATGGTGGCACACACTTGTAACCCCAGCAACTCATGAGGCTAAGGCAGGAAGATCACAAGTTCAAAGCCAGTCACAGCAATTTGGTGAGGCCCTAGGCAACTTAGTAGTTGTGGCTCAGCCATTAAGCATTGGTTTCAGTCCCTGGTACAAAAATAAATAAACAAGGGCCTGAAGTTGTAGCTCAGTGGTACAGCACTTGCCTAGCACACGTGACACTGGGTTCAATCCTCAACACCACATAAAAATAAATAAAAGTATTGTGTCCATCTACAACTAAAAATATTTTTTTAAAAAACACCTCTATTGGGGTTGGGGTTGTGACTCAGAGGTAGAGCGCTCGCCTACCATGTGTGAGGCACTGGGTTGGATCCCCAGCACCACATACAAATAAAAAATAAAGATATTGTGTCCACCTATAACTAAAAAATAAATATTAAAAAAAAACCTCTATAAATTCTCTTTCTGAGCAATGTTGCTGTAGTTAACTATATGCTGATGATTCCCAAAACTTTATCTCCAACTCCATATATCCAACAGCCTACTTGATGTCCAAAAGATTCTTTTTTTTTTTTTTTTTGTACTGGTGATTAACACAGAGGTCCTTTACTACTGAACCACATCCCCAGCCCATTTTATTTTTTGAGTCAGGGTCTAAGTTGCTTAAAGCCTTGCCAATTTGAAGCTAGCCTCAAACTTGCAATCCTCCTGCTTCAACCTCCCAAGTCACTGGGATTAGAGGTACAGACCACCATACTCAACACTAAAATGTTCTTAAAGCAATCTACCTGCATGGAATTCACCGCTGTCCTTCCTTAACTGATTCCTTCTGTATTCCTTGTCATGATGAATCTTACCTTTCTACCTTTTCATACAAGCTTAAAAAACAGAAGGCAATCTCAATTCCTGTCCATTTCTATTACTATAGCTTAGTTACTTCAGGCCCTCAATTTTTGCCTGGATTATCATATTAATCTCCCAACTAATTTCCCTGCCTCCAAACTGACAGTACTTTAGTCTATCCTTCTTTGAAAAGTTTTCATTTAAAAAAAAAAAGTTAATTATTCCCCCTTAGCCTATAAAGTTCAAATTTCCTATTATAACAAAGGTA